GCCTCTGTGCTTGCATTCCCACTCCGGAGTCGCATGCGATCCTCATACGCCTTGAGTCTACTGATGGCTTCTTCAAATGGCATAGTATCGATGTCCGAGTATTGTTCGATAGATGCAACCAGTTGGAGATACTTATATGGTACCGAGTCGAGAAGCTTTCTAACTAATACTTCATCTTCAAGAGTAGCACCAAGGTTGCTGTACTTTGAGATCATACCGCTCAATTTACCCGCGAACTCGTCTATAGACTCTCCGTCTTTCATTCACAAGGCCTCAAAATCGCTTTTAGGAGTATGCAATCTTGCTTTCTGAACTCTTTCAGCCCCGAGGAACCTTGTTTTTAAAGAATCCCACACCTCCTTTGCTGTCTTATTCTTTGCCACCTGTAACAAGATGTCTTCCGGTATTCCTTGGAAAAGAAAAGCCCGAGCTGACTTGTTCTTTTTCTCATCCACAGCTCCTCCTTCTACTGGTTCAATGGATTCCCATATTCCTTGGGCATCCATGATAACTTCCATCTTGATCGCCCACGTGGTGTAGTTTGTGGGAGTCAACAACGAACATTGGAATGGCACTCCACCATTCTCTCTTGTAACAAGTTGGTTGGATGATGCCATGGATTCGTAGCGGATATATTTGGGCATGAACCGTTTGCTCTGATACCAAATGTTGGAAATCAGGCAACAAATGATATCAAGAAAAAAACGGCACAGGGACCGATACAGGGACAAAAGAGTGCACCTTACGAAGAGAAAAAATTACTGAGATTTTTATTATTTTGACACACACAATGAACTACAAAAGGATTGCAATTTACAGACTCTATTACAATGAAAGCTGACATAAAAAATACTTAAAACCAAAACAGTAACCGAAAGACTTCACTGGTTAACCACATTCACCTAGTAATATGGTAACCGCTTATTCCCATTTATTGCATTAAAAACTTAACTAAACATGAACCAAATCAGAATTAATTCCAACATTCTATACCTACCATCACTAACTTTCCCATAACTCTTCCCAATATTCCTTTCTTTGCTCCACCACCTTCCAAATAAGTAGTGACTGCTATATAAAAAGAAAAAAAAAAGCATTATAGAGCGGTTTGATTGATCTTGGGTTTATATGTTTCTTTCTTTTTTAAATGTGATTGCATTTGTTTTTTTATTTATTTCGTCATATTTGTGGCTAGATTAAATGGTTGTCGAGTGCTCTCCTTCACATGTTTTCATGTTCTGTGTAATTTGATATACTTTGTAATATATTCTTGCTATTGAGGTGGACGATTTCCATTACTTTATATCACAAGTATTTCGTCACAAAATGAAGAGGAATTCTATCGTATATAAAATTAGACAAAATGTCTGCACACTCCATGTGTTAACAGTATATAATTAAAATTATGACGAATGTGATTATTTCAGTTTACCTTAGCAATAAAATACACTACAAGAAATAAAGCCTTTGCCGACGATGTTGTATTTGGCTGCGACATCAGGTCTGACGCGCCTAATGTCGCCGCTAAAGCCAGCGTCGTCCTGGTGTCGCTAAAAGGTTCACGTCAACAATCCTTGTGTCAATGCCAAGATTTAATCGTGGCTCTGCATTGTTTCATTGATCTAATAGATGGGGTTCCTCCGTTCATACCCAATAGCCGTGTCCTGAATAGAGACAACGTCTTCTTCGCTAATGGTCTCCAAAATATGAGCGGGAATACTTCCCTCCAACTCGTCATCGCAATTAGGGTTCAGGCGCTGCAAAAGTGTTATCCCTTTAGTTGGTCTCCTATCGCAGAACAGCGAACACAAGACACGATCATTTTCTCCCACCTTTGATTCTCCGGCGTCGTTGATCCCTCCAACACGAGAATACCGTCGATTTCAGTCGAGTTACCGTGTCACCGGCCTCCTCCACCATTTAGCGGCAGCCTGTTTCCAACCCACACCGGAGGTCGACTTTACCACACCGATAAAACACTTATCCGGGCTTCGTCGGCGACGGTAGGTGCTCCTTTCCCTCTTTCCTCTCTATTTTGATTTTCTGAACGGAATTTGCACTCCAATTTGATGATTTTGTTGATTTTAAGGTTGTTGCACATCACCACAGCCACTGTGTGTTCTTCTCCGGCGACCACCATCATACATCACACTTTTCTACTGCTTCGTGTGTGTGTTTTTTATGCAATTGTGTATATGAATGTGTGTATTTGGTATATATGATGAACACTTTTCTGTTGATTTCCTATATGTTGATTTGTATGCAAGAATGAAATTATTGGTATAAATATGTTGATTTTGTGGAATGTACGTGTGTATTTTTTGATACATGTGTATATTTTAATATGTGAAGGGATGTGTAATTGCATATATTTGTTTATATGTTTCTTTGTATGAAATTAGTTGTATTTAAGTAGTATGAAATTAGAAATATGAAGAATATGTGTGTATTTGTATATCTGAATGGACGTGTATTTGTATATACTTCATTATATGTTTCATTGTATATGTGAAATATATAGTATTTGTATGTACATGTGTAATTATTATATGTATAAGCGTATTTGGAATGTGTATGTGTATTTGGTACATGTATATCTGTATTTGTATGTATGCCAATAGAAATGAATATATGTATGTGTATTTGTATGTAATGAACATGTGTTTATAATGTATGTATATGTGTGTGAAATGTATGTATGATGTTATGACTTAATTAGGTTAGAATTGGTCTATGAGTCCATATATTTTTTTGGTTACTTTTTAGGGGCATAAGGTCGTTTTTGGTAGCTTTAATTGATCATTTTGGAAGAATCGAAGGGGTAAACCGGTTAGTCCCTTACGCAAAGTCATTTCTTATCCATCTCTCTCTCTCTCTCACAAACACACACACACACATACCTGTTTAAGAAGTTAGATTCTCCCCTTTTATGGTTATTCTTTTCTCATCTCGATACAACCGTGGCAAGGACCTCTCTGCACTTCCATCGGTCAAATAACGTCACCAATGAAGATGAAGAGACCATAACATCCATCAATCCCGGCTACGGTAAGCATACTTTGTATTCCAAAAAACCTCTATGCCTATCCAACTTTCCTGATTGAGCTTTAGAAACCAATCAATGGTATTGTTAAAGAAATAGCTTATGGGCAAGTTCGAATCACGTTGGAGTGTGATAATGAAGAAAAACAACACCCTTATACCTCCTTATCACCTACTCTCCTTCACCCTACCTGAACCACCATACACCCCATGTTCATCACCATCGACCACCATCATTAACCTCGACCACTAACCTGTACAAAATCAGCCACAATCACGACCAAAAAACAACTATTACCGATCATCATCACCGCCTCTTCACTTGAACTTCAATCATCATCATACTATCACCACAAATCGTTTACGCCATCATGCCATAACAAACCTTCCAAATCAACACTTGACCCCATCGTTTTCACACTTGCAACTCGTAATAAAAAAGAAGAATCAAGAGGGGATGCAATTCAGGAATAGATAGTAAGACACATGTGTTAGCTTGATTAATAAAGAGAAAAAAGGGAGATGCTAGCTTCGATCGCTTTTTGAGAAACAAAGCGGAAGAGAGGATGCACTTTTTGATTGTATATGTGGTAGTCGATTGATTGTTAAGGACCGACAGGTAAGTTAGGATATGAAAAAATAGAGGGATGAACATAACGTGTAGCGGTTACTGTATGAAGATTATTCTACGCTTTGCATTACATGTTGGTAATCATTACAACCTAAAGACTAAACTTCGGATGCATAATTAGGTGAATTTTGGGTTGTTTACAAAAGGTTTGCAATACGGACGCACATCAAGAATTTGAAAAGGATTAATAAGGCCCTCTATGTGTATTTGTCGTTTATACAAGTACTTGTCTTTTTTCATGCAACGTGTGTATTTATGATTGCTCCGGGCGCTGCAAAAGTGTTATCCCTTTAGTTGGTCTCCTATCGCAGAACAGCGAACACAAGACACGATCATTTTCTCCCACCTTTGATTCTCCGGCGTCGTTGATCCCTCCAACACGAGTATACCGACGATTTTAGTCGAGTTACCGGTGTCACCGACCTCCTCAACCACTTAGCGGCAGCCTGTTTCCACCCTCACCGGAGGTCGACTTTAGCGACAACGATAAAACACTTATCTGGGCCTTTTCGGCGACGGTGGGTGCTCCTTTCCCTCTTTCCTCTCTATTTTTAATTTCTGAACGGAATTTGCACTCCAATTTGATGATTTTGGATATTTTAGGGCTGTTGCGTACCACCACCGCCACTGTGTGTTCTTCTCCGGCGACCACCATCGTACATCAGATTTTTCTACCTAATTCGGGTGTGTTTTTTGTATGAAATTGTGTATATGAATGTGTGTACACTACTAGAAAAACAGTCTTTTACGACGCGCAATGTGTGTCGTAAAACGCTCAGACGACGTGCAACTGCGTGTTAAGGAAGGCCCTGTCATAACGAGAGACGACACGCTTTTGCGCGTCGTCTATAGACGAAGCGCATTTACAACGCGCATTTACGACACGCATTTACGCGCACATTTACGATGTGCAATGCGGATCAAGGAAGCCCCTGTCATAAAGGAAGACGACACGCATTTGCGTGTCGTAACCTTACGACGCGCATTTACGACTCGCATTGCGTATCATTAAAGCCCCTGTCAAGAAAGGCCATGTCATATATGAAGATGACACACATTTTTGCGTATCGTAATTTTAAATGTTAAAAAAAATATTATTTATAGATTTACTAATTTTCAAATTAAATTTGCATTTCTCATAATAGAAAATAAAATATCATATACAAAAAATACAATCCATTGCATAAAATTTAATGTCATACAAATAATCGTTACATGAAAAGATAAAACAAATCAATAGAAGTTGTAACAGAATTTTACAAACTAATTAGATACAAGAAATATGAAAAACATGAAATCCTTGAGATTAATAGTTCTAACAGAAGCTTCACGTGAGATACATACAGTTGGACCAGTAAGCAATGATGTTCCCGAATCCACAATAGCAGCACAAGAACACGTACACGATATCTTCTGCTACTGTTGAAGGTTGCCATGATAGCTGTTAAGATTTAAGCATAACAAGAAACCAATCAGTGACTATAAGAAGTTAGATAGCGACAAATCCAACTTCTCAAAATTATCACAATGATAAATAAAAAAAAGTCACCAAAGGTCTCCTATCTCAACACCCTTTGAAGTTGAAATTCATATGTGGGGGAACCATTAATCACGATAGAAGCCATAGAAGAAGTTAGATAGAGACAAATCCAACTTCTCAAAATTATCACCAAACCCCATATAGGACTTATAGCCCTTCTCAAAATCAACCTTAAAAACCAAAAGCTTATGATGATACTCCTTGGCCCAACCTATAATCATCTCGTTTAGCATTTGGAACATCCCTAATTACAACAGTAAAAAATGTACCTTACAAGAGCAGCAGCCAGACTTTCGGCATTTGGAACATCTAAATTGGTGGTTAGTTCATCAAGTGCAAGTATTCCACAGTGAAGCAAGCACCTGAGATTAGTTGAAAATGGATTTGTGAAATTCCTTCAATCCAAAATACAATGGGAATGGGCAATTAGAGATGATGGCATACCTTTTGACCTTCACTACACCTTCCTCCCATTTCAAGCTCAGCATCACCATCTTGCATAACAACCTGAACTTACAATCAACAATAAACATTAGGGTTGGGTTAAAATGTGAGATATAGCAACATACTTTCATTTAATTTTATGTTTAAAAATGTTACCAATTTACCTCGTACCTATAAGACCTAGTAGCACAACATTCAACATCTGAATGGATACTAATGTAATCAATATCCTACCCTCTGTATGTTTTCTGCCATAGTTCTCTTAAAAGGGGCTGAACATGGAAGCTAACATCAACATGGGTTCTGGACAAAGTCGTTTTCTTGGAGGTGTTGTAGCAACCTTAGCAAGTGTTATCTTGTTCATTGATGAAGGGCTTACTGGTAATTTTGGCTGATGTAGGAGGGAGTGTAAGAGTTTAAGAGGAGGCAAACAACAACAACCATATAAGTTACAAAATCTACAACAGCAAATATGGAGAGAGAGAGAGAGAGAGAGATTATGTATAAATACACAAAAAATCACATTTCCCACTTCAAAAACTTTAGTGGGTTGACCTTGACCACCAATTTTGGCATGTCCAAAATTTCCTTGAGAATGTTGTAGAGGGATGCCCTTTGTATTGGCAGCTTGCGTTCTTCCAATTGGATGATACTGAAACTTTCTTTGTTTTGTCCCACCTAATGATCTCGAGTCACCAACATCTTCATCTAAGTTTCCAAAAGTCTTCCTCTGTTTACAGTCTCCCTGTTAACATTGGGATGAACACATGAATTAATACAGGTGTGCACACTTAGACACACTCACATATCTTTAAATAAGATCTAATTATGACCTTATATCTATTTATTTTTATTTTTCAAGGTTATAATATTAGTTTTCTTATCACTAATTACCACTATATATATATATATATATATATATATATATATATATATATATATATATATATATATATATATATATATATATATATATATATATATATATATATATATATATATTACCTCCAATGGCTTTAGTAGCATCCTTAAGGCTCCCAGAAAAGTATTGTTGTAGAACACTTTAAATAACATTCTTATCTGCTGTACGTCGCTTTTTCTCTAATTGTCTCCTTGATCCACCAACCATCTTCAAGTCGACACAAAATTTAAGTCTATATATATATATATATATATATATATATATATAGAGAGAGAGAGAGAGAGAGAGGTAGGTTCAAATGTTTCTCACATCTATTGTGTGCTAGAATCCACCAATAAGATTTTAGTATTAGTTATATGTATATTAAATGTTATCTATACTTATAACTCATTTTTATGGAAACCAATTAAATTCGTCATTAATGTCAACAATAATACTTTTTCAGAATTAATTCATATCTAGAAGAATGATAGTGTATTCCAGCAGAATGAGAGTGTATTCTAGTAGAATACACTCTCGTTTTTCATATTCCATGCAACTTTATTGTATTTTAAGTGACTGAGTCCTGAAACAAAATACGAACTCATATATAAAAACGTAGATGTGAATTCATTCTGAAAGAATGTTAGTGCTGACATTAATGACGGATTTAATTAGTTTCCATAAAAAGAGAATTATAATTATAGATATCATTTAATATACATATAATTATGGAAATCATTTAATATTTATATTTATTTAATTAAATAATTATTTAATTTACTAAATTCTTATTTGTGCATTCTAGCACACAATAAATGTAAGAAACAAAATAACTTAACCCTATATATATATATATATATATATATATATATATATATATATATATATAATTCAAAAAGTAATATTACCTGATCCGGTGGACGAGGTCCAATCCTAACATCAACAGGTTCAGTGCCATTAACAGAAACTTGATCACCAGGAATCAAGCTCCCCTCAACATATTTCTTCTCAGAAGAACTTCTTGATACCAGCATCCACCCGTCTTATATGTCTCAAAAGAAATTATAACACCTTTTTGTTGTGTTCCAGCCTCCAAAGCTACAGTAGCCATCATTGTTGACAAAATGAAACCTACGGGACAAGTTTTTCTTCCCACCCTATGATGAACACAATTAATAGACGCAACTACAATGGTGGCTGCCAAGACTATAAATAGAGACTTCATTCTTTAGTTGTATGCATCCCAAAAACACATAGAAACAGATAGTATAACACTTAGAGTGAAAGTGTTAGTGAGAGGGTTGGTTTTTTGTAATAGTTGAGTGTGAGAGTTGCTCCTCCTATTGTAATTCTATTTTAGTGTTTAGTAGAAGAGTTTTCCAACCCCAACAACTGGTATCAGAGCTTGGTTCGGTGTCCAGTGAATTCTTTACGAATTTCTCTGTTTTTTCGTCAAAAATATTTTGTCTCAAAATCCGTTTTTGAGTACACCGTTGGAAAGGGCTTGTTTCAAGGATTCCGAAAATATATTTTTCGTATTTTTTTTACCACCAGAAGGCCCTCAAATCGTTGGTCAAAGTTGGTCAAATCTCGCCGGAAAAGTCGCCGGAAAAACCAGGTGGCCGGAGAAGACTACCGGGGAAGAAGGAGTGACGTCATCAGTGAGGTCATCATTGACCAGAATTTCAGGAAGTTGCAGTTTTGCCCTTGAAGTTCCAGAAAATTGCAGAAAGGTCCCTCTGTTTCTGAAAAACTGCAGTTCGGTCCCTGTTCTTCTGAAAACATCTGTTTTGGTCCCTGGAGTTCTGAAAAGTTTCAGAAAAATCCCTGGTTGGCAGAAATATTTCAGATTGGCCCCTGTAAGTTCCGAAAATTACAGTTTAGCCCCTATAGTTCTGAAAAGCTACAAATTAGCACATAACTTTTCAAGAAAGTATATTTTAACCCCGAAAAATTCTACCCCACCATTTTTGACGCTTCCGAATCCAACCGAGAGCTCGGTTTTATCTAATTTTTCAACGAAATATTTGTAAAATAAATTTGCAATTATTTTCAATGGAATCTACAAGTACGATTACGATGGTTCGACTTACGCCCACAAATTACAACTTGTGGAAGCCAAGGATGGAAGATTTGCTTAATCTGAAAGATTTAGCAGAGCCTATAGAAAAGCAAGGCGTCAAACCCAACACGAAGACAGACGAAGTTTGGACGAGAATAAACAGAAAAACGGTGGCACAAATTCGACAGTGGATCGACCACAGTGTTTTTCATCATGTCTCTCAAGAGACAGACGCGTACAAACTTTGGGAGAAGCTCGAGAATATGTATCAGGCAAAGACGGCACGCAACAAGACCTTGCTGATGAGGCGCCTTGTAAACCACAAGTTACGAAGTGGTACGTCCATAACCGAGCATACGAGTCAGTTCCAGGATCTCGTAAACCAGCTCGGTGCTGCTGATTGGGTTCTCAAAGACGAGGAACAAACCATATTGCTCTTGAGTTCTCTACCAGATAATTGGGAGACGCTTGTTGTGACTCTCAGCAATTCTGCCCCCGGTGGTAAAGTGACAATGGAGATGGTCACAGATGCCCTAATGAACGAGGAAGCCAGAAGGAAAGAAGCTAGTACAGACCAGTCTTTTGCCCTCGTGTCAGAAAACAAAGAAAGAGGCGGAGGCAGAACTGGAGGCCGAGGTCGAGGTAGAGGCAGAGGTAGACATGGTCAAAGTAGAGGAAGATCCCAAGATCGTGGGAAATCACGAGATCGAGGGAAATCGCGAGAGCGAGGTAAATCTTCAAATACATGGTTCGAAGGCTATTGCAATCATTGTAATTATTATGGCCACAAAAAGAGTGATTGCCGAAGGTTCTTACGAGAGCAGCCCGAGACAAGCCAGAATCCAAGCAGGGAGAATGGTGAAACCATGGTCACCATAACACAAGACGTTGCCCTTGTTACATACGAGGAGGAAGCATGCCTACATGTTGAAACTCATGATGATGAGTGGGTGATTGATAGCGCTGCATTATATCATTTGACTCCAAACCGGGATTTATTCAGTACTTATAAACCCGGAGACCATGGTACCGTAAAGATGGGAAACACCAGTTTCTCAAGCATTGCTGGTATTGGTGATGTGCATTTAAAGACCAATGTTGGATGTACATTGGTGTTGAAAGATGTTCGGCATGTCCCAGAGCTGAGAATGAATCTTATCTCAGTTGGAGCTCTTGACGTCCAAGGATATGATAATCAATTCAAAAATGGCACCTGGAAGTTGTTGAAAGGTGTTATGGTTGTTGCAAGGGGAAAACTTGATGGTACTCTTTATAAAAGTCATGCAAAGTTGCTTCAACCAAGTCTCAATGTTGTTAAAGAAGAGACATCACCAAACTTGTGGCATAGAAGACTAGGCCACATGAGCGAGAAGGGATTGACGACTCTTGCAAAGAAGGAGTCCATTTCAATGGCAAAAGATGTTGCCTTGGATCCTTGTAAATACTGCCTATTCGGGAAACAACACAGAGTTTCCTTTAGCTCCACAAGAAAGAACCGCTCTGAGTTGCTGAGCCTTGTCCACTCCGACGTATGTGGACCCATTGAAGTAGAATCTCTTGGTGGAAGCCGGTATTTTGTGACATTCATTGACGATGCGTCACGAAAGGTATGGGCATACTGTTTGAGAACGAAGGACCAAGTATTGGACCGCTTCAAAGCTTTTCATGCAATGGTGGAAAGACAAACAGGCAAGAAGCTAAAATGTCTCCGATCAGATAATGGAGGCGAATACTATTCCCGTGAGTTCTCTAAATACTACACGGAACATGGTATCAGACATGAAAAGACTGTCCCACGAACCCCACAACACAATGGTGTAGCAGAACGGATGAATCGCACCATTGTTGAGAAAGTTCGATGCATGCTCAGCATGACTAAACTCCCAAAGCCATTCTGGGGTGAAGCTGTATTGACATCTTGCTATCTAATAAATAGGTCACCTTCCGCTCCATTGAATTTTGAAGTTCCGGAGAAGATATGGACGGGTAAAGACATATCATATTCTCACTTGAGAGTATTTGGGTGCAAAGCGTTTGCACATGTATCAAGTGAATTGCGGAAGAAATTGGACCTCAAATCCACTGCATGCATCTTTATTGGATATGGAGATGAAGAGTTCGGGTACAGGCTATGGGACCCAGAACTAAATAAGGTTATTCGAAGCAGAGATGTGGTTTTTTATGAAAACCAGTATTATGATTTCAAGGCACCGGTTAACAAGCAACAAAGCTCCAAAGTTTCAGATATAATATCTAAAAATAAAGATGATGTTTCCACTGAAGAAGTGGATGAAGAAGTCGATGATGCAGATCAAGAAGGTGTTGAGCAGGGGGAGCTTCCACCCCTGGATAATTCAGATCCACTGCCAGAAGTTGCAAACGAAGGAACTCAAGTTAGACGATCCAAACGAGTACGTGCTCCATCAACAAGATATCCGACTTCAAACTACATCCTTCTTACTAGTGAGGGGGAGCCAGAGAGTTTTCAAGAAGCTCAATCTCATATTGACAAAGAAAATTGGCAGAAGGCCATGGAAGAAGAAATGAATTCTTTGCAGAAGAATCAAACATATAAGTTGGTAAACCTCCCCAAAGGAAAGAAAGCCTTAAAAAACAAGTGGGTTTTCAAGTTGAAGAAAGACGGCAAGGGAAATACTATGAAGTATAAGGCGAGACTCGTTGTCAAAGGTTTCCAACAAAAAGAAGGAATCGACTTTGATGAAATTTTTTCGCCAGTTGTGAAGATGATGTCTATTCGAGTTGTACTCGGATTAGTTGCCAGTCTAGATCTTGAACTTGAGCAGATGGATGTGAAAACAGCCTTTCTCCATGGTGATTTGGATGAAGAAATATACATGGAGCAATCTGATGGCTTTAAAGTCCCAAAGAAAGAGCATCTCGTCTGTAAATTAAAGAAGAGCCTTTATGGTCTTAAGCAAGCCCCAAGGCAGTGGTACAAGAAGTTTGATTCATTTATGATGAATCATGAGTACAAGAGAACTGTTGCAGACCATTGTGTCTATCTGAAGAAGTTTCCAGATGGGAAATTTGTCATCCTTTTGCTCTACGTGGATGATATGTTGATAGTGGGCCAAGATGCAATGATGATCAACAACTTGAAGAATGATTTGTCTAAGTTCTTTGATATGAAAGACTTAGGCCAAGCACAACAGATATTGGGCATGAAAATTATCCGTGATAGAAAATCAAGAAAATTGTTCTTATCACAGGAAGAGTATGTTGAACGTGTGATCAAAAGGTTCAACATGGAAAATGCCAAGCCCGTTTGTACGCCCTTGGCTAACCACTTCAAGTTGAGTAAGAAAAATTGTCCATCTTCTGAGAAAGAAAAAGAAGAGATGAAGGCAGTCCCCTATTCCTCAGCCGTAGGAAGTCTTATGTATGCAATGGTGTGTACAAGACCAGATATTGCTCATGTTGTCGGTGTTGTGAGTAGATATCTAGCTAATCCGGGAAAACAACATTGGGAAGCAGTCAAATGGATACTTCGATACCTGAAGGGTAGTTCGAAACTATGTTTATGCTACGGGGGAGCAAAGCCAATCGTGGAAGGTTATACAGATGCCGATATGGCAGGAGATCTTGATAGTAGGAAATCTACATCAAGTTACATTTTTACTTTGGCAGGGGGAGCTATCTCGTGGCAATCCAAGTTACAGAAGTGTGTCGCACTGTCAACAACAGAAGCCGAGTATATTGCTGCCGTTGAAGCTGGGAAGGAGCTTATATGGATGAAATGGTTTCTTCAAGAATTAGGCTTTCCACAAGAAGAGTACATCATTCATTGCGATAGTCAGAGTGCTATGGACCTGAGTAAGAACTCGATGTACCATTCCCGTACAAAACATATTGATATACGTTATCACTGGCTTAGAGAAGCAATTGAGGGACGAGAATTGAAGTTGTTAAAGATCAACACCAATAACAATCCTGCAGACATGTTGACAAAGGTGGTGACACAAGAGAAACACAGACTATGTGCTGACATAGTTGGGATGAGGATTGTTGGACGGAGACTGGAGGGGGAGATTTGTTGTGTTCCAGCCTCCAAAGCTACAGTAGCCATCATTGTTGACAAAATGAAACCTACGGGACAAGTTTTTCTTCCCACCCTATGATGAACACAATTAATAGACGCAACTACAATGGTGGCTGCCAAGACTATAAATAGAGACTTCATTCTTCAGTTGTATGCATCCCAAAAACACAGAGAAACAGATAGTATAACACTTAGAGTGAAAGTGTTAGTGAGAGGGTTGGTTTTTTGTAATAGTTGAGTGTGAGAGTTGCTCCTCCTATTGTAATTCTATTTTAGTGTTTAATAGAAGAGTTTTCCAACCCCAACACTTTTCTCATTTGTTACTTCTTTCTGAATAGTAAACATGTAGATGCAATGACTTCTACTGCTTCCATCATTCATCTCTACATGAGTTGACAAGTCAATCAAACAACTAGCATAAATTTTCATATAAGAAAATATTAATTATTTTCATGAGTTGACAAGGCAGACATAAAAAATGTCTATAGCACCTACACACAACCAGATATGAGTGAAATTAATAAATCCATAAAAAAGGATATAAATATAAATGACCAAAATGCCCTTAACTTACTGTATTAATTGCCTGCCACCGTTCGAGTCTCTTGATTCTTGACTGCATATCTTCAATCGCACCTTCAATGGGAGAAATAACCTCCCTACTTGGTGATGACTCAGATGATGAACTGCTACCCTGCTTTTGATATATCAAAATAAATAAAAATATATAACAAATTTGATATATTTATATTTTTAATAAAAACAATTTGAAAATTAAACCTGAGATTGAATGTTTTCTACAAGTTCTTGCAACCGTGCAGCTTGTTGAGCATTGATCCCACTTGAATTTCTCTCTGATGCTGGTAATTTTTCCAGTACTATTTGAAGGTAACTCTAAAAAATGAAGAAAAATAAGTAAATCATAATAACAACAAAATAAATACTTTAAATTAAAAAAAAAAAAAAAAAAAAAAAAAAAAAAAAAAACGTAGGAAAAACCTTTGTGGTGTATGAACCATCAAGCTCAAGAGCCGAACCAGCAGCTACAGTAACTTCCTTATTTGCCCCTTTAATCTGTATATATGGCCCCAGGACATGTTGCAAATGATCAACCTCCATTAAAAGCTACAAGGGCAAAATGGTCATATTAAAAAAAACTAAGTGTTAGATTTAACAAAAGAAACCATGAGGACTGTATGTGCTAGAAAATAAAAAATTCAGATGACCAATTCTGTAATTTTACACATAAAAATATTTTACCTTTCCATCTTGGTAGATATATGCAGATGCTTCAATGTAAGCTACAGCTTGATACCTGAAAACCATTTTAATAGATAAAATATTTATATAAAAGATAATAATTGCTTCATATAAATATAAAAATATAAAATTATGGTAAGTACCCAAGATTAAGAAGACCGGAAACTGTACTGATACTGATGTCAAAGTCCACCTTTGGTTGAATTATGAAATCCCCTTCCCTTATAGGCTAATTATTAAAAAACATTTAATAAATAAAAAATAAGAAAAGAAAAATAATTAATATAAATTTTGACCACAGATGAGATGACAGACCTCCCTTATGAGTAGTGCAAATCTCCCTTCAATTCACATATTCTCACTGGCATCACAGACTAATCTTCCAACCTAGGAACATGAGTTATCCCAAATACATACCTGCAAATTTTCATATAAGAAAATATTGTACGAAAAGCATGCACAAACTGATTAAAAAAAACAATGGAATATATTTAGTCACCAGAGAACAATGTCGGTTTCTTCAAGAGATCGATTTTGTTGGACCCATGAAGCCAGACCTTCACCAACACACGAGTTTTGGTTGGGAAATTCTCCTCCGGGGCGGGAAATCCTCACCACAAGCATACGGTGTGACCCATAGATTATGTTTTAAAAAGGCAGCCCTTCTTACGAACTTGGCTTCTGAACCTGCTAAAGGCAAGCAGTTTATCGGATGTAAAAAGTCTTCTGCTTACCATATGTAAAAAGTCTTCGCAAGAATAAATTTCCAAACCACATTTTTCAGCAAGTAACTTCTGCTCATTTGTGATTGTGCTAAAGCTAACAAGAGCTGTAATATAAGATAAAACATATTAACTCACGAGAGGGGTATATATTTATTATGAGAAAAGCAGATAAATAAAACTTACTTTACAAGTACTTTGTTAGGAATTAATCTAGATTATTAGTTAATTTATGTTAAAAGGTTAGTATCTGTTAGTATGTGTTAGTTAGTTAATGTTAAATATGGCAGTTATGTTAACGTTTCATAAACCATTGTGATGGTTGTGTGAAACGTTGTAATGTTTGGTTTGATATCACCCCCTGTTGTGATACTATAAAAAGGGGTCATATGTATCAGTTTGTATCTGTTGAAATACATTTCGTATATATCAATAATATAAGTCAAAGTTTGTTATTTATCTTCTTCTTTTGAATCATTGGAACTTTATCCTTATCTCCAACAAAGTGGTATCAGAGCCAATAAATGGCGCACGTCGGAAACAATTATCAACCCCTCCTTCTTCCAAAATTAAATGGGAAAAATTACTACCGCTGGAGCATTCAAATGAGAGTATTGTTTCAGTCACAAGATCTTTGGGATGTTGTGGAGGAAGAGATTGAGGAACCAGAAGATGAAGATGAAGTTTCAGATGATGAAGTCAAACAACTCAACGTGATGAAGAAGAAAGATAAGAAAGCACTTTATCTTATATATCAGGCATCGGATGAGGCAATTTTTGAAAGAATCTCCTTGACAAAATCATCAAAAGAAGCTTGGGACATGCTTTATACAACATACAGAGGGGAGGATCGAGTCAAAATCGTAAGGCTGCAAACACTTAGATGTGAATTTGATGGATTGAAGATGAAAGAAGGAGAATCTGTTGAAGAATTCTATAATCGTTTGATTACACTGGTCAATCAAATGAGAATCAATGGAGATGTTATTGAAGATAGAAGAGTAATTGAGAAAATCCTGCGTAGCCTCACAAGAAAGTTTGAATATGTGGTGGTTGCCATCGAGGAATCTAAGGATATCTCAACATTATCCTTAGAAAGGTTGTTGGGGACTTTGCAATCTCATGAATATAGAATGCGACTCTTTGATGACGTTCCTTCTGAAAAAGCATTTCAAGTTTCTACGGGTGCAAAAAAGGAAAGAACATGTAAAGTCATTATCTGAAACTCAATGTTATTACTGTCACAGATATGGACATATTATGAAATATTGCAAGAAAAAGAAAGAGGATGAGAGTGCAGATGCAAATTTCAATTATGGAAAAGAAACAAAAGAAGGAGATACTGTTTTTATGGCACTTGAGGATCTTGAAGCCTTAGTAGATGATGCATGGCACGATGATGATGATGATGTCCTTTTGAAAAGAAACAAGGTGATAGATGATGAATGATGATGCTTGAAGATCAAAACTTCAAGATGATGGATGTTTCAAGAAATAATCTAGATTAAGGGGGTATGTTAGGAATTAATCTAGATTATTAGTTAATTTATGTTAAAAGGTTAGTATCTGTTAGTATGTGTTAGTTAGTTAATGTTAAATATGGTAGTTATGTTAGCGTTTCATAAACCATTGTGATGGTTGTGTGAAACGTTGTAATGTTTGGTTTGATATCACCCCCTGTTGTGATACTATAAAAAGGGGTCATATGTATCAGTTTGTATCTGTTGAAATACATTTCGTATATATCAATAATATAAGTCAAAGTTTTGTTAGGATCGAGACACTTAACACACGACTCTAAACACACACAGAGCTCACGAAAAACAAGAACACAAGGATGAACACGAGGGATTTAACGTGGTTCGGTCCTTCTCTGACCTACATCCACCGGTAACTAGGAGTTTATATTTCTTGGTGCTAATCTGCACTCACTCTTTGTTGCTTATTTTTACAATACAGATGAGACTCATATATAGAGTCTGAAGTAAACAAATGAACAAGAAAAGCAGCCATGAAACATGCATCCGGGAAATATGGATCACCTCTCCTTTTCCACCTTTTTGACTTGCTTTTCTTCCATGTTTTCTGCCATGTTTTCTGCCTTTTGACCAGCCCAATGGCTTCACACTCAACAATCTCCCACTTGAAGCCACGAAACAATCTTCACCATAGCTTTAACTGTGTATCTGTATTTCTATAAAAACTTTTGATCTTGACTCCTTCCTAGTTACCCTGGCCTTCTCTTCAATTTACCTGAAGGCTAGTTGAAGCTTCCGTTAGCTCCAACACATCAGTCATGACTAAGTCTGCCACTGACCTGTTCTCTGTCTCCACCGGCTCCCACTGAAATGAACTGCCCGATCCTGGAACATCTTGAGAACAAACGACACTCTCCATATGAAGCAGATAATCTGGAGAGACTTTTACAGATGGAATACTGGTTCTCTTAACCCACTGTGTTCTGGGTATTCTAGCTGAAGCACAACCCTTGCTCCCACTGCTATGAATGCCCTTGACTGGTTTTTCTGAACCGTTCCAAACACGTTCAACCTGAATCTGACCTGTGACTCTGGGTTTGCCATCTGCAAAGCAAACCTTCTTCTGTCCACGAGACTCTATGAACCGGATTTTGTTTTTCTTCTGAATTGGGACGGTTACTCCCTCAGATGGTAATCTGACCATATATAATGAACCCTTCTTATGTCCACGAGCTATCACAAGATTTCCTTTGACAACCTTCCACTGCCCATTCCTGAACTTAACCTCGTGTCCCTGTTCATCCAACTGCCCAACAGAAATCAATTGTTTCTTCAGACTTGGAATTACCCAGACATCCTTCAAAGTCCATGGACCAACTGGAGTCTTCAAAACTAAGTCACCTATGCTCGTCACATCAAGAACCTCATCGTTCGCCAGTCTTACCTTAACAAAATCTCCTTCTTTTAGATTCTGCAGTGCTTCACGGCTGTGGGTAGCGTGAAATGAAGCACCCTAATCCATAACCCAGGAATTCACATTGCTCTCCACACTACAGATCAAAACATCATCATCTGAATGGTCTACTGCAGCGTTAACTTCTTTCTTGTCTTTTGGACATTGATTCCTGAAATGTCCAACCTCTTTACAGTTCCAACAAGTCACATCATTTCGAGTCCTCGACTGACTCCTTCTCATGTTCCCGCTCCCACTACCTCTGTTATTTTTTCTACCTCTGACCGCATTCAATTGTTCACTTGATGATTCCCCGGAATTTCTTCGTCTGACGTCTTCGCCTAGAATTAAATCCCGAATTCCCTCAAAAGTGAGCTCTTTCGATCCTGAGGAACTAGTAACGGCTGTAACTGTTCCGGACCAACTGTCAGGTAATGATGATAACAGTAGTAAAGCTTGAACTTCGTCCTCAAATTTTATTCCCACTGACCCAAGTCTGGATAAAATCGAGTTCAAATTGTTGATGTGTACTGTAACTGAACTTCCTTCCCTCATCCTCGTGTTGACTAGCTCCCGAATCAGGAAGACTTTATTTGCTGTCGACGGCTTCTCGTACATATTAGACAATGCCTCCATGATTCCCTTTGCCGAGGTCTCCTTCAAAATGTTGAAGGCAACATCCTTTGACAACGTCAGTCTAATAAATGCCTTGGCCTTCTTATCCAAAATCTCCCAGTTTGCATGTGTTATCGCCTCCGGTTTTTCACCTAAAACTGCGTCCAAGTCTTTCTGCACGAGCAAATCTTCAATTTGCATCTTCCACCAACCAAAATCTTTCCCATCAAACTTCTCAATCTGAAGCTTACTGTTTTCTGCCATTTTCTGAAAGATTAGGGGCTAAACTGCAATTTTCTGAAAGTTCAGGGGCTAAACTGCAATTTTCTGAAAGTTCAGGGGCTAAACTGCAATTTTTCAAATCTGCTACAGTGTTGCTACAGTGCCTGCTGACGTCACCGCTGACGTCGTGCTACAGTGCTTGCTACAGTTCCTGTTGACGTCACCGCTGACGTCGTGCTACAGTGCCTGCTACAGTGTCGTCTTCTCCGGCAGAACTCTGGTGCTACATTGTCGTCTTCTCCGGCGGAACTTCGGTGCTACAGTGTCGTCTTCTCCGGCGGAACTTCGGTGCTACAGTGTCGTCTTCTCCAGCGAAACTGGTTTTTCCGGTAACTATTCCAGCAACCTTTGACCGGCGATTTGGACGTCTTCCGGTGGTCAAAAAATTCAGAAAAAAATATTTTCGGAATCTTCGGAACGAGACCTTTCCAACGGTATACACCAAAATCGTTTTTGACGAAAAAAAATTTCGACCAAAAACTGAAAATCACCTTCTGGAGCTAAAACCTTGCTCTGATACCACTTGTTAGGATCGAGACACTTAACACACGACTCTAAACACACACACAGCTCACGAAAAACAAGAACACAAGGATGAACACGAGGGATTTAACGTGGTTCGGTCCTTCTCTGACCTACGTCCACCGGTAACTAGGAGTTTATATTTCTTGGTGCTAATCTGCACTCACTCTTTGTTGGTTATTTTTACAATACAGATGAGACTCATATATAGAGTCTGAAGTAAACAATTGAACAAGAAAAGCAGCCATGAAACATGCATCCGGGAAATATGGATCACCTCTCCTTTTCCACCTTTTTGACTTGCTTTTCTTCCATGTTTTCTGCCATGTTTTCTGCCTTTTGACCAGCCGAATGGCTTCACACTCAACAAGTTTGTTATTTATCTTCTTCTTTTGAATCATTGGAACTTTATCCTTATCTCCAACATACTTCTCAGTATCAAGAAACCATGGAAACATAAATCGTCCCCACCATGCTGCCTAACAAGTTGAATTTTCAACTAATTGTGGATGTAACAGCCTGAAACAAATAAATATATAAGAAAATGTGATC